GCATAATTAAAGCAAAAACACACCACACAACATACATTATTTGTGACTATTACAGCTGGAATCGTGCAAATTTTTCCTCCCATGATAAAATATTATTGGGAATAAATGCAATCATAAAAAAACCTCAACAAACAAACACTGCTGTTAAGTTTGGTCTAGTCTTTGTAAAAGCAGGAACATCAGACACCAAATTACTTTCTAGGTCCTGTTGTATCAATTTCTTCAGTATTATGCCTGGCATTAGACTTTGATAATTGCTGATTTGCCAATGTCACTTTTTATTAATTCATACTCATAAAAATATTTAAAAGGTATTGGTTACCACTACTGCATACCTCTCATTTGTAATTAGTGACCTGCTCTCACCAATCCTCTTTCAGGGTCACCAGCATGTTTACTAAAAATTTTGCTTTATCAAAAGGTTGTATTTGTCCATAGAATTAGATCTGGATGTTCCTTTGTATCTACTCACAGATCTGGTACACTGTTATATTTCACTTGCTTGGATTTTTAAACTTCTGAATATATTTGAATTCTAGGAACTCAAAAGGAGCTAGTAAGTACTGGTGACTAATCTCTCTTTCAAATAGTTTTCAAGATCAAAAATCCAATTAAAGGTGGCATGGTTTAGTGTGAGGCGTCCCTACCCATGACGGGGGGGGGGGGGGGGTTGGAACTAGATGATCTTAAAGTCCTTTCCAACCCTAACTATTCTATGATTCTATAATACAGTGGTCCCTCATAGACTTCTAAAACCAAGGTTTAAATCTAAATTTGTAACAAACTTCTTTAAGGATCTGAACTAAAGTTTGTCAGTGCTACAGCACAGATTCACTACCGGAGTTAAAGCAGCAGTAGTAAACAGCAATACCAGACTATTATTCTCTGTTTAGACTAGTCACTACGGAGAAACCCAGAACACTAGCTGCACTGAGGAAAAGACTTTGTGTGTAACTCTAATTAACCGATTTGATAGAAAATTCCAGTGGGAAGGCAATCTCTGTTTGAGACAGGAAATGGGATCAATTTATTTGGTTTTTGTTTGGGCTCGTTTTGGTGTGTTTATTTAATACAGAAAGGTACAGATTATTTCTAGGATAATGAATATTTCATTACCTGCCTTTCATTAGGTTGCTAATTTTCTAGGCAAATTGAGTCATCTAGCAGGCCTTCAATCAAAACATGACTGGATGTCATGTGGGAAGAAATTACATAGGCTGAAGAAGGTGATTAGGAAAAGGTTGTGAAGAGGGTAATGTATGGTTTAACAGGTTGCACTTAGGGTCTGGAAGGAAATAACTAATACAGTTCACCAAAGACTGATCTTGGGACCACTACTATTCAATAAATTAATTCACAATTCCTGCATAAATTTAGGACCTTGCTATTGAAATGTGCTACTGACACACACACAGTAGGCAGTCGGTAGTGTGAAGGATCTGGATAACATGTTGGAACAACCAGAACAATAAAGAGAAAATATAATTGTTACATATTCTTGAAAAGGGAAATACAATAACAACATGTTCCAGAGAACATATTTCCAACAGAGATATATTAGGCATTCATGATGTTCCACAAGACTACTAACATCTAAATTTGGACATGTACCCACATTCAAAAAAGATTAATTCTAATGGGAATAGATAAAAGAAAAGCTTTACTAGACTAACACAGGAAATGCAGAGCTATTGCCTAAGACACACTGCCTCCTGGTTCACATAATTAATAAAATGTGAGACGGAATCTGTACCTTCTAAATTTTGGGGGCTACACGTTGTCAGAAGGAGGAAGAGGAGCTCACCAAGATAAAGCAGTGACTATAAAAGAACAAGAGTGTATAAAACCACCTATCAAATGCAGTAAATCTGGAAACTAGAAGTTTAGAAGGTTTTCAAATGCCAAGAGTGAATTTTTGGAACGGCTTCCTTATGCAGCGTGGGATTCCCCCCACTCCTGACTAGCTAATTTAAAGACAGATCCTGAAGAGTTTCCAAAAAGAACCAACACTTCACTGCCTGCACTCTAGAGAGATAGACTGAGTGACACCAGCTGCTCTTCCCAGTCCACCACTTCTAATATTTGGAAACACAGTGAAGAGTCCTAGGACTAAGACAAGCAGAAGTTGATGTCAGTGTTTTAAGTTAACTCAGAGGAATGGGATTTAAAAATTAAACTGAGGTTGGCTGACAGATGGGTTTGATGCTAACTACAGGTTTTACTTTTTGTGCTTCTGAATTCCTTGATAAAGGAATAAAAATTACTATTAACTTTATGCACAAGCATCAGAGATCATTATTAATCAGATATTTTTCATTGTCTTGCAGCAGTAGAGATGATTTAGTAGGACCCCGAGTTCTTAGTTTAGTTTTTCCACAGCTGGCTCATGAATCCATTTCTAGAGAGATTAGTATTACTTCCTGCCATATACAACTGTTATTTCCTGAAATGAACCAACTATTTGCTACTATGTCCTAAAATTAGACCAGAAAAATTTTCCTTCCCCATTTAAATGACGTCTGAAGATCATGCTAACGTGCCAAAGCAGGGAAACACAAAGCTCAGGCCTTACATTCTGTTCTTAACCAACCCTACGATCACTCTTCTGGGAAGTAATACAAATAACAATAATAACTTATTGTGCACAGTGCTTTTCATCTTCAAAGTGCTTAACAAATATTTCCTGATAGTTTCTCTGGAAAAAGTATGGTTTAAGGCCATCTTCTTATAGCTTGTGTGAAAAAGTTAATGTCATTTAAATGGAGTCTGTTGGTATTTAATAGGATAGTACAGTATTTTAGTTTAAACACCATTGTTCCATTAAAAGCTAGTTATAGAAATTCGACCTTCCTTAAATTTATAGAGCACAGCTTTCCATTTGAAAAAAGATTTATCTAAATACTTCATCCGAATTTAGTCTTCCTAATTCTAACTAATTGCATAACAGTCTTTTCACCCAGCTGTATAATGCAATTCGTCATGAGGAAATAAAATCTTCACTCTGCACTTGCAGGCAGTACCGCCTGTGAGCAGTAGATAGCACTCAAGATGTTTCCATTTACTATGAGGACCCGAGCGAGACCAGACCACTATTGCAGTACGAGCCTGGCACAAGGTAAACTCACACCTACATGGCTCATCCCTGCACAGGGTGCTCAATACAACAGCTTTGGTCAGCTCAATAGAGTGCTTCCTTACAGTTAGACCAATAACTGGGTAATTCACACATGCAAATATATAATTTCTGTACCATAGAAAATATACTTTTTAAATGTTTTTTATACTAAGCATATGTGTAGCAGCATTTAACTATTTTCCATCCAGGATGTGAAGACATCTTTTAGATTTAAATTCTACCAGGAAAATCCTAACACATCTTATGCTGATCTTTTATATTAAAAATAAAATCAAATGGTAGCATAACAGGTTGAAGAACACTAAAATAAACACTTTAAAAAGAACTTTTTATAAACTTTTGACTCAGTAATTAACACTGTTTCCGCTTTTGTCTGAATCTTTGAATCTGCTGCAAATGAACCCATTTTAGAGTTGTTGAGTTTATCTGTATTTTCCTTTGCTATAGAGCAAACGTCTTTTCTGAACCCAAATGAGAGATCACAGTCTGTGGCTCGATCACATCCAAATGATGTGTTTTTCAGGACACCTAACAGCAGAGCTAGGAAAGGAACGGGTGGGGTGTAACAGCTAAATAAACACAGTCACTACCTGGTAAAATCATGGCTGCTCACCAGCGCAGTGAAAGGTCTTGCAAAACTGTCTCCCCTGGCAAGGATTTTAGCGGTTGAAAATACAAAGGTAGTTAAAACGTAACCTGAACACAGGCCTAGTAAGATGAGACAGGGAAACCAAGAATTAAGAGGAAACTAATCTGCAAATGAGATGCATGGTTGGAAACTGATGCCACTAAGTTCACTTCAGTGGCAGAGAGCTTGTGTATCACATTCCACGTGCATTGCTGACCAACAACCACCCACACTGCCAGACTGGATGCAGGTATATCTGTTACGGTGCTACCGAGCCAGCTCCAGGCACGTGTGCCAAAACATGGCTGCTTTCCGTCAGGTCCTGGCCTCCTGCTCTCAGAACTGTATCTCCCCTTTCAAGGCTACTGCATTACAAGGTGGTCTCTCCTGCAGCTTGACAGCACAGGAATGAAATTTTCAGGCTGCTTAGGCCCATCTCAAAAGCAGGTCGACGATGTGTTAATTAATTTATGTTATTAAATGGATATAACCCCAGAGTGACTTCTTTGAAGCCAGATCCTCCAGCCCTCGGGCTCCCATCACACTTGGATGCTATTTACCAGGCACAGCATGCCCCTTGTCTCCAGCAGCACCGCTCCAACCCACTGCTCAGCACAGCTCAAGCCCCACACGAAGAGCCCACCTGAACTTGACACTGTACCTGGGACCGCTCAAGGGCACAGACATGTGGTGCCCCTGGGCAGGCCGAGGGGCGCATCCAGACCCCACGCCCCCGTCCCACTATGCGTCCTCCCTCATAGCTGGGGAGAAGAAACCCGTTGAATTTCCCCACAAGGACCACAGCGTGTGGGTGCCGGGGGTGGGCGGGCACATCGACCCTTGGGAAACAGAACGGTGATAGCAGTTTTCCGATAAAGCACAACTGGGAAAGGGACACGTTAAGTCAAATTCTTCACCCGTCTCTCCTTTCGTACCAGAGCATGAGGCTGGCGGCTGGGCCAGCCAGCGACGGCTCCCTGAGGAGGGGGTAGCAGCGGGGGTGTTTCCCCCCCCCGATAAACCTGGGCTCTAGCCCCGCAGGCCTCCATTGCTCTCTGGGCCGGCGGTGGCTACAGGCGGAGGAGGGGCCGCCACGCCTTTAAACTTTCCGTGAGGGGCGCCCCGCCCGGGGCAATAGGGTTTTCTCAGCGCCCGGTGGGGATGCTTCCTTCGTTCTGTATTCCTCGCTGTGGTTCGTCTCAACTTCGGTTTGGCTGGGTGGCTGCTTCTCCCCAGCAGCACCATGGCAGGCAGCAGGGCGGCGGGCTCGGACCCCTCGTATTCCGTCGCACCGCCGGTCCGCGCTAGGGTGTGAGGGGTTTCCCCTCCGCCCCGCAGGGGGTGCCGCGGCCGCCCGGCTGGGCAGCGCCGCCACCGCCGCCCCCCGCCTCCTTTTTTCGTCCTCCTGCCCGCTATGGCCGCCCGCGGAGCTGAGCGGCGCCGCGCGGAGCGGCGTGCCAGTGCCGGGGTCTCGCCGCTGCTTGCCAGCGCCCCGTGAGGGGGGACAAGCGGGGCGGCGTGTCCCTGCGCTCAGCCCGGCCCCCCCGCTCTCCGCAGCGGAGATGTGCGAGACCCGTGAGAAGGGAGTCGCTTCTTAGACCGGCAGCCAGGATGGTGCAGCTGCGGCCCCTGCCCCTCGTCGTCGTCCAGGGCGTCCTCCAGCTCGTAAGTGTCCTTCCCCGCGGTCCCTCTCCGGTCCCCGCCGCAGGACTTCGGGGGAAATGGCTCCTTTCCCGCTGGTGCGAGCGGCAGACGCGGTCTACTCTGACGGCAAAGGCAAAGCTAGCTCCGGGCAGCGCGCACCGCGCCCGCGGGCAGCCTCCCATCAGCACGACAGCTATTCTTATCTCTTTCTTTTAATATGTGTATATATACATATATGTATTAAGTGCGTCCGTGCTTTTCCACGCGTTTGCCGCTCGGCGGGGTTGTTTGGGATGGTGGGGCACGCAGGTAGAGAGCGGCTCCGGGAGCCGGGATGCGCTGGGAGCCACCGTGGGGCTGGGCACGGCGGGCGGGCGGGTGCCGAGTACCGCCCGGAACTGCCAGCTCCGGAAAAGTTTTCTGCTGGGCTCAGGTGTCTCTCTTCGTGGGGATGACATAACGGGCTGTGCAGGTCGAGTCACCCGCGCTTCGGAAGCTCCCCTGTTATTTTCGGCTTGCTGCAGCGCGGGCATGGGGGGCTGCTAATTTTTACCCTGGACTGTAGCACGCACCTGTATTGTGCTACATGTTCCTTTGCGTGCAGCGGGGGATTTGGGACTGACGTTGGGGGTGAAATGTAAAGTTGGCTCCCGGACCCGTATATGGGAGGGAAGGACAACGAGGTGCGCGGCTGGAGTCGGGAACGCGGAGGCCAGCTTCTCCCTGAGCCAGAAACTGCTGGGTTGTGGAGTGTCAGTGGTAGAAAAATGGTCCTAGTGCTCGTGGTAACGCGGTGGGAGAGGTTTAAAAAGAGGAAAACTTGTATTTGCAAGCAGGTTCGGCAATCTTCACTTTAAGGAGTGTTTTTAAAATGTTAATTCGAAGTTATTTGGGGGCGGAGGAAGTTTTGATTTCAGTCCCCTCCGATTCGTGGTGCGAAAGTTGTGCCTCTCTTTCCCGGCTGAAAGTATCTGAAAGTTTGTCTCTGTAGTCAGTGGGGAGTGTGTAATAAACCTTGAAGGGATTAAACAGCCTCCTTAAGAACTGGAGTCTAATATTACAGTGTGAGTTGATTGATTAGTTTTTGAGGAAGCTTATGTCAAATTCTAATCCGGTTTCGGATTGTGCTTGTCGTGTAATGTTTTTTGCTCCAGCGGTTTATCACAGCAATGAAGTAGCGAGCTGCAGTCCTGCGATAAGGCACCCATTGCTTTCACACTCCTATCCTTTTGGACAATAAAAGGCTGTTTACACTCTCCACATTCTTGCAGCCCAGTTTCCAGCTAAGCAACGCGCAGGGGTGAGAGATGGGGAAGGAAAGCAGCAAATGGATTACGAAGTTGTTGAGCAAAAGGAACTAAATAAACCCTCTTTTCCTCGCACCTACAGCCTCTCTCACACTCTCCTTTTTACTTATTTTAAACAGATATCAAAGGGATTGATTGAATCCATCAACAGGAATCGGGTTTGTTACATGATGTTTTATTGATGATGTTGGGAAGTTGCTTGCTGTGGTTTTTGCACACCTTGAGTGAAGGCAGACCAAAGAAGCAAAATTGCTGTCTTGAATTAAAATAATCATGCATAGTCAGTCCAGTTTTTCAGGTGGATGCGGCACTCGGGTCACTCGGGTATTCCTATTTTCTGTGTTCCTTGTATACAAACTGGTAAAGTTTTAGAGCCAATCAGTTTTATGGCTTATATAAATTATTTGAAATTATAAATTAAAGCAATGTGAGAATGAGTGGAATTTTGGAAGTGTTTTAGGTATACTTTTTAGTAATAGATTAGTATTAAAAACTTGAGTAAATGCATTTTGGCATACTATTATCAGGATACCTGGTTAACATCTGGTTAAAGTTACAGCTTATTAGAAATTGAGTTGAGAAATACTTGATCCTGGTGGTAACACATTGAATACAAGTCTCTGTGCTAGTCATTGTTCTCTGGCCAGTATTTGGAAGGGCTGGTGACTTCCTGGTATCTAATTAGCAGTTTTAGCAGGCAGGCATTGGTGGTACTAAATCTCAATTAATTTTTTGTTTTGGTTTGTTTTGCTTGTTTAGTTGTTTTGCATTTTTTTGGTTTAACTGAAGATTGAAGTTGTTAAGACAACACTAAAGGCTCAGTGTTTCAGCCAAGAAAGAAAACAAGCATGGGTTTCAGTGTTGCAGTACAGAAATCAAGCCCTTCCTGATAGCGCAGTCTTAAGTTTTTATGAAACTGGAGATTTTGGAATGCAAAATGGTTTGGCACTGTATTTTAGTGAAGGTGGAAGTACTTGTGTTTTGTTTTTCATGTGGGATTTTTTGTTTGTTTTGTTTGGATTTTTTTTACTAGATTTAACTTCAAATGTGTGCTTGGCTTTCAAATACCGAAGTGTGCTGTCTGCTTTCCTGTTTCTTAAAGATGCATAAATACAGGATAAAACCCGTGTGAAACTTAACAAATTTGAGGAGATGCTGAGAGTTGTGACAGACAATATCGCTAAATTTCAGAATGCAGTGTAAGTTAGATGGTTGTTTATGTGCTGTATCTAATACTGACCAATCAGAAGTTCATGTTTAGTACTTAACATAGTGTGGATGTATTTCTCTAGCATGTTCCTGGATTATTATTTTGATTAACAGGTGGTGTACCAGTATACATGCAGCATAAACGCATACACATTTCTTACGCTACTCTGCATATTTGTGTATATGAAACAATAAGAAAAACTTGCTGTTGAGTCAGGTTAAGGTGCTAACTTGCTTCTGTAAAAATGCATTAATGTTCAAAGTCGTGTTTACATTATATTGTCAATATAGATGGAAACAACAATCTATAATGCATAGGCAGTACTAGTCTGGGCTGTTAGCGATAAGAAGTCCAAAAATTGTTGTATTGTGTCATCACTAGTAAGTACTGCTGCTTTACTATTATTTTTAGGTAAGCTTTTTCAATTGTCACATAATGCTGAATATCTTGTTACTTGGCTCTTTATAAATAATGGAATTCAGCATGTTGGGAATTGAAGAGACTGAATTATTAGGATTATATGGTTTATAATATGCCTGCTAATGTTTAAGTTAGCTTTATGTGCCTTAAAGGGAGGGGGGCTTCTGCAACTTCTGTGGGAATATTACTTGCCCTTTTAAAGAAATCTTGGTTTAAAAAAACAAAACAAAACAAACAAAACAAACCGAGCCCCAAAACCAAAAACCAAAATGCCCAAACAAAACAAAAACAGCCAAAACCCGTAACAGAAAAAGGCCTCCGCTGTCAGTATCCATTATTTTCTTATCATGCTATTAATTTGCACCTTTTAAAAGGTCACATTTCATAACAGTTTTTAAAATAGTTCGCATGGGATCTTCAAAATGTATGGAATTTCTCCCTCAAAGAAAGAAGGGGGCTGGGGGGAAAGATCTGTTTATAGGTTTTCAGTCAAGAAGCAGAATTTGCTTTTGCCAGATACAGTTACTATAGCCCTGCTTTCCCTTTGTCTTGGCAAGGTACAGTTACAAATGCACACAGATGGGACCTGTGGTTCTGTAGGATAACCAGGCACCTTAACTGTTAGTTTATTCTTGCATTTTTGCAATCTGAAATTGAGGTGCATTTTCTTGCGCCTACAGTTGTATCAGCATTCCCACCAAGACACTCTTTTCAAATGTTATCAGGCAGAGCTGTCACCATATTAGAAAACCAGGAATCAGTTCTTTTACAAACCCTTAAAACCAGATTTTTTTTGGTTTTGGTTTTTTTTTTTTTTCCACAGTAGTGTTTCTATAGATGACAAATAATTGGGGGGGGGGGGACGGACACGGGACACAACACAGACTAAAATCCAAACTGTGTCCTTTTAAGATTTTTCTCCACCAAGACTGAGGTATAGCATATGACATGAGTGAAATTCAATGACAGATTTGTTTGTTGTGGACTTTTCAAGAGCTGAAATTTTTAACACAAAATAATTTGTCACACGAGGCAAAATTTTTAGAGGGTTTTTGTTTTGGATTTTTTTTAACAGAATTTGAGGTTCTTAACTTGAGCTGAAAAGAATATTCATAACTTGCTAAAGTATATGACATTGCTTCATAAGCAGAAATAGCTTGAAAACTGAGATAAAGCTGCATTTCCATATAAAACATGTATACCATGCGAGGCATAGAAACACAGAGGTATATTTCTCCTGGCTACTTTGTCTCCACAGCCTTGTAAACGTGGTCTGTGTAACATGCCGTTGCAGTGAGAATCAGAAATAGGCACCATACAAAACTCTCAACTCTTGTTTTGGAAAGGTAAATGCTTCCCTCTAGTAATCTTGAAGCATGCAGATGAAATTCCATCCCCCTTAATTCCAGGGGGAACTTTGACATGAAATATATTTGGCCCAAGATTTCATTTGGTTTATTTTGGTATTTTTCTAGGTGCTGTAGGCATTGTAAACCCACATCTTGTTCTAGAATAATAAAGTAATACAAGTAACCCAAGGAGTGCAGGCAGTTTGAAGTTGACAGCTCAACAGACACTGGTTTCAGCAGTTCAAGAATTTATTATCCTGAATAAGGAGTTATGTCTTAAGGTGGATGAAGCTAGGTTTAGTTTACATAGGGGGCTCACATGCAACTTGGCTTGTCCTTACATCATATCTTTTGACCTAATTCTGTGGAATAATTGACTAATACTTTTCAGTTTATTTGTAGCTTGACTGGGGGCATAGAATGGTTATAGACCCCATTTAAAATTTGTACAGCAAGTCTTTTTGACTGATGTCCAGTAGACCACAAAGTACCCCAGGCTTCCTTAGCACAGGGCGCATAAAATTCAAGTCTCACTTTTTCCATCTGTAACATGGAAGGTATTTTTCGCCCATTGTAAAGTACATTGGAAGCTACATGTCAGAGATGAGCTGTAGGCACTTCTTTTTTACTGGTAGTGCAGTGTAAATGATGGGGAAGTGAAACGGAAAGATTGGTGGAGCCCAAAACTAGATTGGGGTGCACTGATTGGTCCCAGTTTTCTGTTTTGCATTTTGA